GTGTGTGTGTGTGTGTGTGTGTGTGTGTGTGTGTGTGTGTGTGTGTGTGTGTGCATAGATGTTTTTAAAGTGGTGGAAATATTCTGACAAAACTTGCAGATCAGAGACACCACACAACGAAGGTCTGTTCAGTGTCACATAGCAACACTAAAGAGTTGTTATGGTGCCTGCAGAGAGATGGAAATACCTCCTGTCTTTACCTCCCATGCTTTTCTCCAGCACATTATTCTACATAGGTGTTGCCTCCCTACAGACTTATTCATACACCAAGGCCACTTTCAGACTTTGACATAAACATTAGGCAGCAATTTCCAAGTGTCAACTTGTTATTAGAGAAAACAGAAAGAGAGACGCCTGGGTTTATAACAAAGTGCCTCTAAATGATTCTGTTATACAGACTAAGTGCTAATATCATTCTTCTGTGTCCACACAGATGGCAGACATGGAGTCACGTATAACTGTGGCACAGATGTGAGAAGACATGATGGCGTGAGTAACGTGTTGTGCCGTTTCTCACACCTGTAGGATTTACAGTTTAATTCTTCAAGTACTGGTGTAAAACAATCCGACTACCTCAGTGATGACTCTCTGACAGGCAATCATTTGCACCAGGAACAACAACTATGCTTTTCATTTACATGCCAGGCAGATGCCACCCGTGTGTCATTCGGTTCACACTCCTCTCACAGATATTTGTTTCAAAGACTGTTAAGAAAAATCAGACTTTCTATAATAATATTAATATTATAAATTGGAATTGGTATTTTCCTTTGCAATTTTATTTTCTACACTGCATATGCAGAAGTTTATGGTCATTCAAGCGGCTTTGGGAGAGTGTACTTTGACACAGAAAGGTTTGAGTTGCAGTCTTAAAACAATTAGTGTTGGTGGGAACACTCGGTAAAAGACACCAACACTATAGTCAACCATGCATTTATCTCCAAAGCCCCTCTGCATTGAGCAAAAACATGTTGATGTTTAGCCGCTGCCTTTGCATGGGCAGTCAAAGTCATGAATGTCACAACTTCATCACAAACCAAATTTTAAAAATGTAAGCTGGTTATGGAGGTAGACACAAACTTCATCTTGTATATTTTATGAGATGGAAACAGTCTCTGAATCTAGGTAATGAAAGCCAAGCACAAGTGCTTTCATCTTGCATTCTTTCTCATGGCCAGCAGGGGGTGACTTCTTTGACCATAAAAAGTGAGACTGCATATAAGCTTATGAGAGAATAACTGTAATGGTCACTTAATATATGTCCAAAGTAAATACTTTGCAGATAACTTAATGGTCTCAATTACTGGTTTGAAGTCTTAATTAATACAGCATGATGTTAATTTTGTGAATTATGTTTCCATTTATAAAAAAGTAGATGATAAATCAGGGTGTGTTTTAGGGTGTGGCTAAAGTGATTCACAATATTCTACTGTTTAATCTCTTCTTTTCTTGATCAGATCCATCTCTGATTTGATAACCCTATTTTCAAAATAGTAAGACATCCATCCATCCATCCATCCATCCAACCATAAATCCATCCTCTTCCACTCCAGGATCATGGAAGGATGGACTCTATCTGTGGTGTCATAGTGAGAGTGAGAGTAGGGTGCACTCAAGATAGCAGTGAATCAGCAATAATCAAAAACTTTCACACAGTCTGTCATTGAGATATTTAGTAAAACACCACAAACAGTTACCTCAGGACAGCGTTAAAAGAGATTTATTTCTCTAAAGCTGTGTCATTAACTATAACAAAAGCTTATCCAAACACATTTGTCGAAATTTCTCTCAGGATTTCTCAGGTGTTACAGAATGAGTATTATATTCTATCAACCTGGCTCCTATAGTTGGATAATTAATCTTCATTGAGCATTACGTAAAATGAGACGTCAGCCTTTGGAGACAAGGAGTTACAAATGTCTGCTTTAACAACCCTGTTTGTTCAGCATCTGCTGCCAAGCTCATATGTGGCTCGTCACACACCACTGGGCTCTCAGCATGAGCTGCTGCTCAGGCACTTCTAAAAATAAGCAGGCAGAAGTAGTCTACCTACCATCTGTCATGTAGGTATTTGAATTAGTATCTGTCTGTTGAGTGTGAATCCTCTTCCTTAAATACTTCCAGATGTCCATCTTCTTGACATTTTACACAAGCGAAACACAGTAAATTCATCAGGGGTGGGGAAAAAAAGAAAGGACTCATGGTCATCATATGGGTGTAACATGTAAGTTTTGCTTAGTCAACCCACACCTGGCGCACATTGAGTTGTGGGCTAGTGCAGGTCATACAAGTGGCAATCATTGGAATCTCATTAAAGTTACAACAGCTGCACAAATCCCTGTAGACAAATATGTAAAGAAAAAGGCAGGCTGCCACTAAACTGCAGTGGGTCTAAATGACCTCACATCTTGAGTTTACCTTCAGACGTATTGACTGATTGATTAGAAAAATCAAATAATAAAAAATTAATAATAATAATTAATAATGTAAGATGATCAGTTTTTGTCAGTAATAGAGAAACAGTTAGGAAGAGATGTGAGGACAAATAGTGCTCTTAAATATAATTAATATAGAAGTCTGCATCATCAGTTTCAATACAAAACAATTGGAAAGAATTACACAGATGACCACAACAAGTCACAGCTGATCGACTACTCTGTTATGTACACACAGCGATTGCGGCTGATGGATGAGGCAGCCAAGTACGCACAACTAAGCGGTGTGGCACATTCTTACACAGACGCACGTTCAGTCTTCCTTTGCTTTACACTGAGATGGAAATATTAGCACTGTCTCCCACCCTCACACCTTCAGACACATCTGTCTCTGACATCTGTCTGTCTACCCTGTCTGACAGACTTTTCTCACTGTCTCCCTTTCTCTCTGTGTCTGCACAGAGACATGTCTGTTCTTCAGCATCAGTCGCGTTTCTTTCCCTGATGTCTTCTTCGGTCTGTTTGCTCCTACTGACCTTTTTCCTCCCTTTGGAAACATACAGGCTCAGGAACCTGAGTAAGACCACTCAGTCACCTCCCAGACTGTGGTGGAGGTCAGAGGACAAGACAGCATGTTCCAGGAAACCACAGCGGGGAAAGTTTAGTGCACACAATATTCACTTAGCCTTTATGATACAGGCTGTCTGACAAAAACAGTTTAATGCCCACTGAAATTGCTTGACAAACCACACTGCCTTCCTCTCTTCACCGCAAACCAGCTGCAGATTCATACTTAATGCCAGCAGTACCCTTGCACTCAATCTTGGTAACTGCCCTGGTGTTGGTTGTGGTTTCTCGGCGAAAGGGAAAGACATTTGCAGCTCCTCGGCTCCCTAAATGCAGCTTTTATCACAAAGCACACCTTGTAAAATTAACACCTCCTAGAGTCAAGCTGCAAAAGTCCTCATTCAAACAAACCCTATACACAAACCACAGCAACACAGCTACACACACACTGCCACAGCTGTGCAGCTAAATGACCAAACTGTTTACTTCTTTCCCTCTGCTTTGCTCAACCATCATTCTGGGTTTTCACAGCATTCTTTTGTCCCTTTGTCTAATGCATTCCTGAAGTTTGGTGTTGTGGGGTACAGCTATGCTGTGCCTGCATACATTCACTGTTTAAAAAACCTTTGTTTTGTGCACACGGCCGACTGAATCTGTTGCACAGTAAAGTCACAGGCCACACAACGATTCTATACTACGATGTATTTGTTTTAGGAATTTTGTTTTCATTTTGTTAGACATGGCACAGTTGAAAGTAGAAGAAGACCACTCTAATTTGTCATGTGTTGTCATATTTTGATATATTTTGATAACAACTACTTTTTATTGGTCATATTATATCGGGTAAAAATCACCCGGCATTAGTGATTGTGTTACTATTTATAGCGATAGTGTTCTAGGGTTAATAAACTATGTTTCTCCTGAACATCATGTGCATAAACAAAACATATGCACAAACCAATGTAAATGGTTAGTGTCAGATTATTAATTTAAAAGTGTTTACTGCTGTTGTTGTTGTTATTTTATGTTGAAACTGTATGTGATGTGGTTTCCACTGAATGTGTAACCAAGAATAGTGTTAAAGTTTAGTTACCAATGAGCCACTATCACTGAAACTTCATCTTTAGGTTAGTTGCTGAAATGTTTAATACAACAGCCTTTGCTAACTGGGTCATGCAAGCACTGAGTATTCTGATAAAAGTTATGCTGTGCCATACTTTAGCAATATAAATGTTATTTTTCACAGTAATAAACTGTTTATGGATACTATAGAACTGTATTTTTTTACTATAAGAAAATAGTGACACTGTAAAACAACTGTAGAAAGCCTGTAATTGTGGACCACCGAGGACCATATGTAAGTAAACAGTTGCATTTTTGTATTGGTGTGTTGTTTTAATTAAAAGTCATACAGCTTTAAAAAAATGTTGTCTCCTAGTGTACTGTTCACTGGAAGTAACCTACCAGCTATTGTACATAGTCATAATCACAGACTTTAAGTGAGAATATAAATTTATCATTGCTCAGACTCAACCTTTCCTCAGTTTGCACTCTCCTCCTACATGTCTGATCAGGTGGTTTGATCCTAATAAGAAATAGCCAAATCACAATCCTTTTACTGACAATGAGCCAAACCAAACTATGGAGAGACGTCAGAGAAAGAAAGCATTACAAAGCAAATCGGACGGCAGAGACAGAGCTGCTGTGGACCAAAGGCAGTGTTTGCTCTACAGTCTCTTCTCACCAAACTGCTGCTCTTACCCCCATCACATGCATCTGCAAGTTTGGCTTCAGCCTTTCTGCACACAGGCATGCACACAAAGCATTTGAATGGATATTTGCGTTCAGCGCTGGGTTTACTGAGAAGCTCAGAGTGATGCTGTGCATGAAGGATTTAGAGCAACGCCCATCCATCTAACTTAAGAGAGGCTCCGCCAGCTTCTCAGCAGCATAATGGTGTGTCAAAATATTAATTACATCTTAGCAATGTGTCATAAAACACAACACATGAGTTAGACAACAACATAATGGAAGATGAATATTTCTAGAACTTTAAAAAAATATATCTGTAGTATAATTTTATTCCTTAATAAAAGCATGCTTTAAAAAAATCACAGACAGAAGTGGATACCTTAAAATGAATGTCATTTCTAGTGTTATTAAAAAAATACACTATAAACAAACAGAAACAAACAAAAAGAAAAAAAAAGTATTTAAAAGATAAGATACAAAATTTCAATAATTCCTTACCTTTGTGAATAACTTTACTGGAAAAAAATCAGACTCTCAGACAGAATAGCAGACAGCCACGCAGAGAGAACTCTAGCAAGTGAGCTCATAACAGATGCACACCTTGAGGACTCAGCTTTTTATCTGCTGCAGGGTGGAGTCACTGGGGTGAGAGAGAAAGAGGCAAAGGGAGAGAGAAAGGGGAAGGGTGGGATGGAGGAAGCAATGGAGCGACTGAGATTTGACTGAGAGTAAATATCACTTTGCAAAAGGTTATGTCAGGATTTATAGTGGCAGAACATCCTCACATCCCCCTGCTGAGTGTCAGCAGTGGATGACAATGATGAAACAGGAATGTTTCCCTTATTAATTATGTGATATACTTGATGCAGTAACAAGCAGAGTAATTAATTAATCTATGTGAGCTAGGACACGGTGCAGCTGGCTGTTTGCAACCACCTGTTCTGGCACACAC